GGTAGTAAAAGGGGGAAGGAATCCAGACAAGTTTGTGTTTTTATGGAAGGGGTACATAAGGGTAATCAGAAAGCTATGCCGTGAAGTTAGTAAATCACTTTATGAATTTGAATGTTTTGTGACTAATATGACACTAGAAGAAAATGAAAATGAAATAAATGATGTAGACAGTAGACATGTTAATTTATTCCAATAGGTTTTAAAGCCCATGCGGACACAAAACATGCAAAATAACGATAAAGAGAAATTCTTTAATACTTAATGAAATTCAAAATTTCCAAAAGAGGTTTTGAGTAATTTAAGCATTTTTATTACAGAGGTTAATCCACGACACGCTGCCAGAATTGCATTAACCACCGTCAAAGCATGGCTTCAGGAAAACAAAGATTCGGTGATTAAACTTTATTTACATATTTTGTAGAATATATACACGTACTGTATAAGCTGATATTTATGCGTCACGCAAAAAATGCGAATGTCAAAGAGTACACCTTTTATGTGCGGAAATATTTGAGAAAATATGATTTCTAGAATATAATACATAAAAATGTACTGTTTTTGTGACATCATTAATTAAGCAGGTACATGTAAAAGATCCTGTATGTTGTAATTGAGGTTGTTACCACACTTAAGTGAAATTTTATATATGTATATAATTATGCTTATAAAACAATTTTCAAACATCGAAGAATATGTAAAATATGTACTGCAAATATTTGTGCACATTATATGTAATCATTAAGATATATGGATTCATTTCTTATTGAAAATTTGACTTAGACTTTAAAGAAAGTAAATTTCTAATTACCTCCCTTTATTTACATGAAATGTAAATGATAATATTTTTTATAAATAATGCTTTTTGGAACTTACAATATTGATAAATCTTAATTTGAGCATCATATTTTTGATATAAAAGCATAAAAAATTGTATTACAGGATCTTTAAGAATATGCCGTAAACTTTCTGTTCAGTTGTTTAATACCTTTATTATCTATTATTTAAATATTACCTGGAAATATATATTGTTAGTTTGATAAAAGATATAATAACACATTCCGTTGTTACATTTTGAGACATTCTTTTGTTATATGAAAAACCTTTTGTGTTATTATATAAATAACACATGGGTTTGTGAGTAACAGTAAAAATATCATTTACGAGGGATGATATTTTTACTGTGTCTCACAAACCCATGTTTTATTTATATCATTTCCCCGAACAAAAATACTGTGTAATCTGAAACTAAATCTAACTGTAACAAAAATAAACCAAGAGTAACAATAACTAAACTGTCCTTACCTTTTAATTCTTAAGACTTCGGAGTTAGAACCAAATTTATGCAAAACAGGTGAATATGAACACTTAAACCATGCCTTAAAAATGGTTATTGATACCCCGGTCACATATTCACGGAATACGCCCACGGAAGAGCCACGGACTAATTCCGGCATCGTCCGTAGCTACCCGTACTGGTCAGTAGCTATCCGTATTGTAACCGTAATCAATCGTAGTAGTCCTTGTATATCCGTAGCGATCCTTGACAATTTTTGAACATGCACAAAAATTTGCTACGGAAAAATCAACCGTAGCGTATCCCTACTAGTCCGTATTAATCCGTACTGATACGTACTGGTCCGTACGAAAACCGTAATAGTCCGTACTGATTCGTAGTCCACCAACTTATCAAGGATTTCCACGGTTTGGTACGGAGAACTACGTATTTGTACGGTTACCCTACGCATAAGCTACGGTTTTAATACGGATTAATACGGCATTGTCACGGAAAGCCACGATCGTAATACGTTGTACTACGGAGAGGCAAGGATTAGCACGGTCTTATACGGTTTATTGCGTTGCAACACGAAACGGTACGGAATGGTACGGCCCACCACTGTTTAGTACGGATGAATTAAGTATCATGTACTTTTTCAAGGGTATAAATACTACCTTCTTGTTAAAAACAGACATATATATTTGCAGGAACATTTAATAAATATTAATTGCCATTTACTGGCTGCAACTTTATATTGAAATGGCTCAGAATGCGGAGGCAGTGGTCGAGCTGCTTGACGACATGCATAGAAGTAAATTTATATTAATATCGTACTACAATTCATAAGTAATAGAATAACATTTAATGTTACATATTTTACAAACATTGGATCGTGAAAATGGAGTAAATATGTACATAAAACGAAGTGTCTCATAAGCCTCGGACGCTGGCCCTTGAATGATAATAAGATTAATTAACAAGCTTTTTTACATATTTTAAAAACATAAACATCACGATCATTAATGTAATTGTAAGATGAACAGCAAATCTTAAAATTAAAAGAGAAGCAGTATTGATCAACATTTTTCATTAATGATTACTAGTCCATATCTAATCAGGTAAGAGAAGACAGACGAGATGGTGGACTAGAGATTGGCTTTTACGAAGACCGCTTATGTTTAGTATGAGGCTCTCATGGCCGAACTTGTTGAGGACCCAGCGTCCTTCAAGAAATTCACTTTAATTGGACCTGATGTGTCTCGGGGTTCGGACGCGATTAGGCTGAATCCTCTCCGCCAAAATCATTGAACGATGCAATTCGTTTTCTAGGTGTTCTTTTATTTTGAGGCATTTTGAAAATGAGCAAACAAGAGGTTGTGGACGGATGTATTAGGTCCGTATAGATCCGTGGCAATTCGTTCTTCTCCGTATCAATACGTTCTTCTCCGTATCAGACCGTACTTATCCGTACCAACCCGTGCTTATACCGTAGCAGACCGTAGTGTATCCGTAGTGCGTCCGTCCTGATTCATGTCGCTCCGTATCAAACCGTGTCGGTCCGTAACAATCCGTGTCTCTCCGGGGGCTTTTGGTGGTAAATCCGTCGGACTCCGTACTCATACCGTTGTGTGTCCGTACTGGAACCGTAGCGGACTACGGAATTTCACATTTCCGTAGTAATCCGTGAACGATTAGACCGTAGCTCTTCCGTGGCATTATCCGTGAATATGTGACCGGGGCATGACATAGATATGATCTGTGATTATCCAACATTTGAAACATTTTATATGGAAAAATAACTTGGCACTTTTCCCAGAAAAACTCATTAATATGTCTATTTATAGTAACATGCGTCACATTCTGTAACCTCTTGTTCAGTAATCATTTATCTTTGAAATATATCCTGATGAAGGTCTTAAAAGACCGAAACCGGTAGATCCTAGAATAAACAAGTTACAAACCATCCTGATGTTTGACGTGTGTTCTCTCCTTCTCTTGATTTACTTGTTTATTTTAATTCTTAAGTGTACTTTAGGCCTACTTGAGAAGTTTTCTTTTTCTTTTATTCTTTAAGCAAGTCATTATATCTAATAGTCATAAACATACAATACGATGTGTTTTATTTAGAAAACAAAACACTAACCCATTTATACGGTTATGATCTGTGAAATCTAATCCTTCTGTATCCAGAATATTCTTCGCATGGTTTTTGACAAAATAACGATGATATCCTATGTCATTGATTAAAATTGTTAAATAATCCTTTGTTGCATGCTTTAATCGTCTGCATGTTCCAGTTTGACACATAATTATTCACATTGCAATTACTTCCTTTGAAAACGGATGTTCACTTTTGACTATTCAACAAAAAGATATTTTATACGCGAAAAGCACTCCAGGGTGCAAAGAACTAAATTTTATAGGTGCCATAGTTACTAGTGGTGATGTCCTATCGTGGATAGTTTGGAAAGTTTAACTTTAACATTGGTCTCCCCTGTTGATCTTCTCTTTCATATTTCTTTCTTAGACTTTATTTCATATTTTAAAGGCACATAATGCCTCAGAAATTCATATTTATAAAAGTCTTTAAAAATATCAAACATGTGTTGAATAATGTTTGAAATAATAGATTGAGAGCATGTTACGTGTTTAAAAACCGACGAAAGTAGACCTGAATTCGCAGTAATGCGTTGTAAACGTAACAAAATACAAATTTACTATAATTATAGCATTTGCCAGCAAAGCAAAAGAAGCAAAGATAGTTCAACTTTTTTGGCAAATGAGTTATTTTTAGAAAATGTAACACTCTACCAAAAATAATAAGTTTAAGAGAAATAAAAATGATAGCATTTCTGTGGCATGATGAGCCTTTAAGAAAGTATTTTTATCATTACAGGTGGATAAAATCATATTCTGTGTGTACGATATTGATAACTGGGCATGCTATCAGGAATTCATGCCGGAAATTTTCCCGCCAAGTTCAGCCAAAGACACATCCGAAGGTACGAAAATTTTGGTTACGATATTTAATCCTAGTCCATTAAAATCACCGATAAGACTATCGAAATGTTCCAAGTTAAAATTATTGATAGGGAATAATAAGAAAAAACAACAGGGGACCGTTTAACTAATAGTACGAGTAGTTACGCTTAAGCTTTGCTTACGTTTAAACGTAAAAAAAACTTACGAAATGTTCGTTAAACGGGCCCCAGGCGAATACCGGTATGTTCTTAACTTTTTAAATATGTTCTTATTCACAATAACGCATTTTGTTCTGTTTTAATCTTTGTGGAAAAAAAACAAATGTAAAGGAAACAAATATGTTTTACTTATATTCCAGCATGTTTACTCCCTATTGAAATCCTTAGAATGGATAAGCATTCAATAGAATTATACAAACGAGCATTAAGTGAGGGCAAAGAGGCTGTTTACAATATTCGAGTAATGGTTGTCGGCCATTACGGTGTTGGCAAGACAACGCTAACAAAGCGTCTATTTGATGAAGATGTGGATATTAATAAACGAGAGAGTACAAATGGTATTGATGTTCACGTGAAAAGATGCAAGGTGTCCCTGCAAACTCGACAATGGTTTATCTCAGAAAATTGTGATTGACATCTTTCTTTGATCTTTTACCGCTTTCTCGTTTACAAGTTTTTTTAGTTTAAATATATAATTTTTCATGTCCATTGCCTTTACTTTGGCGGAGTCTGTTTTACAAAATTCGATGTAAACATTCATTAATGGTCATTAACCTGGTTTAATATTCAGTTCTGCTGAAGCAGACGATAAAAAGTGTGGACGGTAACTTGCATTTACCACTGTAGTTTATGAGCAGGTTTAATCGAACCTGGACTGTGCAGCATTTTCAATTTTGCTTTGTCAGGCGACTTGTAAGGTTAAGGTTTCCATCTTGACTATTCTCATAGGAATGATTTTATCATGGTGGGTGACTACATTTTACTTTTAACTGAATGTCGTTGACTTCATCACATT